AGCACCGACTGTCCCGGGATATTATACACAGACCTGTATTATACAGAGAGCAGCACTATACAGGGAGCATTGACTGTCCCAGGATATTATACAGACACAAACCTCTATTATACAGAGAGCAGCACTATAAAGTGAGCACTGACTTTCCCAGGATATCATACACACAGTCCTGTATTATACAGAGAGCAGCACCATACAGTGAGCACTGACTGTCCTGGGATATTATACACATAGCCCTGTATTATACAGAGAGCAGCACCATACAGGGAGCACTGGCTGTCCCAGGAAATTATACACACAGACCTGTATTATACAGAGAGCAGCACTATACAGGAAGCACTGACTGTATAATACAGGTCTGTTTGTGTATAATATCCCAAGACAGAGAGCAGCACTATAAAGGGAGCACTGACTGTCCCGGGAAATTATTCAGAAACAGGCCTGTATTATACAGAGAGAAGCACTATACAGGGAGCACTGACTGTCCCAGGATATTATACAGACACAGACCTGTATTATACAGAGAGCAGCACTATACAGGAAGCACTGACTATCCCGAGATATTATACACACACAGACCTGTATTATACAGATAACAGCACTATAGTATTATACAGATAACTGAGCATATACCCCATGTCCCAATCTCTAGACTACTAGTACCTGTCAACAGCAGCTCCCAGACGCGTGTAACAGGACTAAAGTGTGCGGCAGCTCACACAGATGATTCAACAGTAAAGCGCACTCGCTGGCAGAGCCAAACTGGGAATCCAAAGCAGCCCTGGAAACAAATGTATGCCATTCCTACAAGTAATTATATATATATATATATATATATATATATATTGTACAGTAAGCACACAAGCTCACTGACATGCACAAATGGCTCACTGACAGACAAAATTCTCTGACTCACACACAAGCTTACTACAGACAAACTCACTTGTATAAACACAAGGCTCTCTACAAAGAAGATCAGCGACACACACAAGCTCACTAAAGACAAGCTCACTAAATAGAAGCTTGCTGACACACACAAGCAGTACCATCTTAACAGCGTTATGTGCCCCCGGGCAAAGCAGTGCTCTGGGGCCCTTCCTACCCAATAACTCACAGGAATGAAAATTTTAATTATTTCTAGACTGCTGAGTACCTACACACAGTACACCTAATACGAACACAGAGAGACTGCTGAATACACACACACACAGATTTCTGAATGCACACAGACTCCTGAATGCACACAGGCTGATGTATACAAGTGAACACAGGCTGATTTATACACGTACACACAGACTGCTGAGTCCATACACACACTGCTAAGTCCATACACATACACATAGACATACAGACTGCTGAGTCTATACACTCACACAGACACACAGACTCCTGAGTCCATACACACACACAGACATACACACACAGACTGCAGAGTCCATACACACACACAGACTGCTGCATCTATGCACACACAGACAGACTGCTGAGTCCATACACACACACAGACTGCTGAGTCTATACACACACACAGACAGACTGCTGAGTCCATTCACACACAGACAGACTGCTGAGTCCATACACACACACACAGACTGCTGAGTCCATACAGACACACAGACTGCTGAGTCCATACACACACACACACACACAAACTGCTGAGTTCATACACACACACACAGACTGCTGAGTCCATACACACACACAGACTGCTGAGTCTATACAGACACACACAGACAGACTGCTGAGTCCATACACACACACACAGACAGACTGCTGAGTCCATACACACACACACACAGACTGCTGAGTCCATACAGACACACAGACTGCTGAGTCCATACACACAGACTGCTGAGTCTATACACACACAGACACACAGCGTGCGGAGTCCATACACACACACAGGCACACAGACTGCTGAGTCCATACACACACACAAACACACTGCTGAGTCCACACACACACACAAACACACTGCTGAGTCCACACACACACACACACACACACACACACACACACACACAGAGAGAGAGACCTAGAGTGTTCCTTCTTTCTACTGTGCAGGTGAAATTCATATCAAAAGTATTTATTCAGCATATGGTTTTTACAATATGAGTGCACTTCTACGGTCTCAGATATAAAAAAGGGGTTCCAAGAAGAGCTGAAATTATCATTACTGGAAAATTAGTAATTTATAGCATATCCTACCTTTCCCAGGGTGGAGGATGCAAATAAAGGACTAGCATTAACTTAATAGGTTATTAGGTTATCATTATATATAAACAGAGGTCACTGCTTTCCATTAGCCTCCTAATACTTTATAGAGAACAGAAAAAAACATCCTCAACATTTGTAATGGGCATACAATGTGACTTATACAGAGCAAATTAAATAATATTAGTTATTGTTGCACACACAGTTCCTTTCTGCTTTAGACCGCACCAGAAGCATTACTTGTCATTATTACAGTGGCTATCAAACATGGCAGTCATTTCCTGTATGATGCATATGGCAACCAGTCCAGGAAGGGCCACCAAGTTGTTTAAAATAAAATGAATAGTCAGAACACTGTGGTTTCTTGCAAAACTATTCAGGAACTAGCTGATTCTCATTGCATTACAAACATTACACTGAAAT